CCGCCGCCTCCCGTCGCGATGGCGGCGGGGAGCTGTCGGGAGAGGGAGAGGACACCGGCGCCGTCGTCAGACGCGTACCTTTCGTCTTCCCCCACCGGCCCGGTCGGGGGCTTCCATAAGATGGAGACCGGAGGCGGGGAGTTCGCACGTGCCGGCGAGACCGGGGCCGACACGGAGAAGGTGGTGTTGTAGAAGGGCCGCTCCTCGCGGTGCTCATCGGCGAAGGTGACGCTACGACGCTTGGGGTAGCACGGGAGCGGCGAGATCAGCGGGGAGTCGCTACCAAAGATACCTTTCGAGCTCAAACGGGAGTAAGAACGTTGATTAACCGGGAGGGAACCAAGCTGCCGACGCGGAGTCGGAGAATTTTGCCGAGACCTTAGACTAGACTTCTCTAGCGTATCGGTCATGGCGCCACTGGTTACTAGCTCTTAGACTTGTTTTCCTCCACTGAGAAAAGTAGAGCCCTGGAATACTAATAACTGCAACAATGAATAATAATAATAATAAAGTAACTCTGCGCCTTAATCGAGCGTTCTATTCTAAGTGGATAATAATTGTTTGAAAAGAGGGGGTGAATGTGTGGAATTGTTGGAGAAGTGGGTTGATTCTTTTTTATTTTTCCCTACTGTCGCTATAATAGAGAGAAAGTATTCAAAAATAGAATGCGAAGAATATTTTCCATCGGCAAAAAAAAAGGACGTGTATGTATAAGCGCGTACCTAAGTTGTAAATTAGGTCTATTTTGTTCATAAAGGCTTAAACATTCCATCAAACATATAAATTTAGTTTATCTATCGATTTACTTTGACATTCTCCCTCTTTTGAAATAATTCGCGTTGTTTTGCTCATATAAAAATACAACCTAACATTATACTATTCTAATTTTATTAGGCCAAATCACCTTTACTATTGTTAATTATTTGTAAATATCATTCATCATATACCCATATGGAAAAGGAAATTGTATTAGATAAGACCAGGAGGTAGCTCAGACGGCTTCGGATACGACGACTGCGTTCCTTTCCGCGTAACGCTAATCGCAGCACACTCATTTGCCCGCCGACAAGCCTCGAGCAAGCTGTGCCCACGACTCATGAAATACGCTGCCGATCCCACAAAACAATCTCCCGCACCGGTGGTATCGACAGCCTTGACAACCTTTCCCTTGCAGTGAACCGGCTTCCCGCCGTTCTCAGAGAGCACGAAGCCGGCCGCCCCGAGCGTGATGATCACATCGCGAATGCCGAGCGCCTGCAGCGCGGCAACCGCCTTCGTGGCCGATTTCGTATCCGTCACTTTGACGCCCGTCATGTGGAAGGCCTCGATCTCGTTCGGGCAGAAGAGTGAGACATAGGGAAGGTAGGGCTTGATCTGGACCACCTGCTTCGAGGTCGGCGCCGGGGCGGCGTTGAAGATGGTGTAAATGCCCCGGGAGTGCGCCTCCTTGAGGACCTCCAGTGTGGTCTCAAGGGGAATTTCATTCTGGCAGATAATATACTTCACGGATTTCGTCAAAAAGGTGTCAAAGTTGTTCGTCCTCTCGCGTAAGAACTGGGGGAGGAGGTGGGACGTGGCATTGGGGCAGATCACAATTTCGTTATTGGAAGTATTGTTATCCACAATAATCATCGCCAGCCCGCTCGCGTTATTGGGGTGCTGAAAGACAAAGTTCGTATCGACACCGCTCTCCTGCAGATGCTTTATATACCCCGCACCGTCGCCGTCGCTGCCGACCATGCTCACCATCGCCACTTTTGCGCTGAGGCGACCTGCCGCAACCGCCTGATTCGCGCCTTTGCCGCCGAAACCCCTCATAAATGACTGTGAGTGGAGCGTTTCGCCCATCTGGGGGGCTCGGTCGACATAGGCAAAGTAGTCCATGAAGCAGGAACCCAGCACCACGATCTCCGCGGAGAAACCGTGGACTTGGTTTTCAATATTTTGAATACGATTCATGGGAAAAAAGAATGGTGGATAATCCGCGCTTGGGAAGTGTTATCGAATGCGAGTATGGATGATCCTTTTTGTTTGATTGTTTATTTTGATAGATTAATTGGTATAGCGATACTGTTGCAATATGAGAAAGGAGAGAGAAGGAGGAAGTACATAAATATAGATTTGAGGGAAAGTTACATCATTCTAACATTTATTTAGCTATCTTTTGGGCAGATCAGAAAGAGTTCGAGCTTTAACAATCATACACTCAGCTACCCTACACTAAAGAAACGTAAAACAAAAGAAAAAATCAGTTGGATGAAAACAAGAGTAATGAAACTTGCATCGAAAAGGTGAAAACTTATTTTTTTTATTGGAAAAGCATAATAAATCAGCATATCACCTTTATAGCTTTCTAACTCCTAATCGACCGATAAGCGTGAGAAAGAGCACGAGAAGTAAAATCTTTGGATGAGTTAGAAGAAAGTATAGGACCGTCACAAAAACTGCAATAATCGAAAAAGTCCAAAGCTCCAGTGTTAAAAACGCTATCATCGGATCACGCCCTTGAAAGCGAAACCCCCCCAGCCGGTACTTAAACTTCCCATAGCGCGAATACCCGTCAAGGGGCAAATCATCATACGTCAACTTCCGCGCGCCGTCGGTGCGGTGTGCGTGATCGTGGCTTTCGCCCATAGTAGGATCTGATCCCGCTCCGACAGCATGGCGAACGGAGTAGCGATTCCCGCTTGAATCAGTGTATGTGTGCTCCTCCACGCGGTTGCCATCCTTGTCGACGAACACGTTCACCGTTTCGCTACAGGACTCAAACGAGTGAAAGGGATGATGCGGTTGACCGGAGGGATCGCGGCCAAGGTTGGTGCCCATACCACTTCCCGGTCGTACACTGCTGCGATAGAGCTCCTCCTCTAGGCTTCGGAAGATCTGGTCGAGGTTCATATTTCCGAACATCTCCCTGAAGAGTTCATCCGCCTCATTTTTCGACATCTGCCGGTAGGTAAAACCTCCGTGGCGGACTTCGCTCGCGTAGCCGCCTGGGAAGCCCTGACCGCCCGCGCCGCTGAAAACGGAGCGCTGACTGTCGTAGAGCTCGCGCTTATCCTTTCGTCCGAGAACGCTGTAGGCGGCAGAAATTTTTTTAAACCTCTCCTCTGCGCCAGGTTCGCGATTGCGATCTGGATGGTACTGAAGGGCAAGCCTCTTGTACGCGACTTTGATCTCATCCTGCGTGGCATCTGGTTTGACGCCGAGTGTGGCGTAGTAATCCTGCGGGTCTGAAGAACTGAACTGGAAGCGGCGACTAGTAAAAGTCGGTGATATCGCAAAAGGAATGGATGCAGACCCCAGGAACCCTGAAACGCACTCTGCACGACGGCGGGGCAGAAAGCCAGAGACAACTTTATTAAAGGGCTGCGATGAACTTGTAACGAACCGATGGGCCCCACTGTATTGGGGAAAATATGTAGGGCATCTCAACGCTGTGGCAGAAGAAAACCGTCGTGAAAGAAACATAGCACGTTGAAAGGATCCAAACTGCATGACTCGAATAGTTTCGACCTGATTTTAATATATATGTATATATATATATATATGCGTTTTTTTGATTTTCTTCTTTTAAAATGGTTTGAATATTAAAAAGGCAAAGGGATAAAGATTTTTTAAGAGGAAGAAACTATGTACCTCTCGATATCTCTATCTTTACAATATTATTAGTGATACTAATTTGAAATAATAGGATAGAAAAAAAACCTGAAGAACAATGATGATAACGACAACAATATAAGCGATATTTTATCCTGCGCTTGACTCATAATCTCGTTAGAATACAAACCAGACAGCTTGTCTGAAATACACATTTAAGACTAAGACCAAAATGAATGCAATCTGAGATCCCTTCCTCTATAGTCTGTGTACTTCTTTCAGAACTCGTGTAAAAATTGAAAGGTTATAGACACCTTCAAAGGAAATTTCTGACAACGCACATGATAAGTTAGTGGAAAGGGAAGCAATTCTTTGTTGTTATTCCCTTTTTTATTCTACCGTGGAGCTTTCAGCTTCAGCAAGAATCTCGCGCCATAGCTCACGCAACTCATCAGTACGCTGCTTTTGGCGCTGAAGCATTTCGTCGCGACGTGTGCTAGTTCGAGCAGAGGTCTCTTGAACAAGTGCCGCCAATGAACGCTGTTTTTCCTTGATCAAGGCAATTCCATCCTCAGCTTTACGCTGCCACATCTCGATCCCTTCGCGAAATTGATGCGTCATCTCCATAATGCGTTCGATTTCTAACTCTAACTTTAGTTTATCCTCATCCATCGACTGGTCCAACGTTCGTAAAAGTGTATCGAGCTCCTTTTCGATTTCCTTTTCAAGTTCATCCCCGCTTTCTTTCAGTTGCTTATCACGTTGAGTCTCTATGTGGCCCCAAAAATGAGCTAACTGTTGTTCTATCGAATCCATTTGGATTCTTCTGCTTCGAGCAGACTGAAAAAGAGGTAAAGCGCAACAAAGTATCAAACTGAGTAAATACACCCGGTATTGTTATACCAATCATCATTAAAGCTAATATTATTATTATTATTATCAAGATTTGAAAGCAAGAAAGTGAAACCCGTTCCAGTGAAGAACCAGATACGTTGGCATTCTTTAAAGGAAGAAATAAGTCTAAGCAAAGCAGCTAAAGTATATATATTAAAAAGAAAACAGAGCTATTGCTGACATATATGCACTTTGAAGCAGATAAAATGAATAAAAAGATAGGATGGGTCGCTTTACTACCGTTTATCGTACAGAACATGTTTATGTGCTCTGTATGTTTCGCACACGGGGGTGTCAATGGCCGTCTTGCCAAATCCCAGCTGCGAAACAAATAAGCGCTCCCGTTCATGCGACGTCATCGCCACACACCAACCCGGGGTCATATCTGCCTTGCCGCCTTCCCAAAAGTTATGTTCATGGCAACTCTGAACGCTGAAATAAGGATTCCATGATTTCCGCAACCGATCCGAATTTCGGCTCTGCGATGAGTCGTTAAAATGCTTCTCCACAGATCCACGGAGCTCCCCTAAAAAAGCATGAAGCGGGTCCGGGGCGCTTGCGACGTCGTCTACGTGCTGCACCATCCACTGAGGGTAGACCGCGGCGAAACTAGCAACGGACTGGTAGAGCTTGATACTTCTACTCGAGACAGACCTCTTAGACATGGAAAATTTAGGCATAAATTTACTGTTGGAGTGAAAAGGGGATAGGCTAGACGGATCATCTGAATCACTTGCATCGTCCAAAGGCGTTAGCGGGCTTCCCATACTCTCAAATGCACTCCCCAGAACGACCGAACCAACCCCCTCCACAAACACCGATGAGCGACGCATAAACTCTAACAGGTTATCCACACTACCATCACGAAGTGCCCACAAGAGCAGAAACGGCTGCATCGTATCGCAGAAGAGGTCGTGCAGAATGATATGGAGGAGACTCTTAAAAAAGTGTTTCGAGAGATGGTAGTAGAAAGAGTCCCCGGAGACGTACCACTCCGGTGCGGAGAAGTGGGTAACACCCACAAGCTCCTTCAGATCCTCTGTGTAAACGTATTCCCTCTCACGCGGATCAACCTCAGAAAATGAAGTGTAAACTAGGAGCGAGATCGTAAGCCACCACACAAAGGAAAGACTTGCAAAATGACCACTAATGAGCAAGGAAGAGTTAAGAAATGAAAGTGTAATAAATATGAAAATAAATGTGCTGCTTAACCGCCGCATCAAGCGGTTCATACTATCCGAAACAGAAAGGCGTGATACCATTCGTACCGCTATCTCACGTGCATTGACAAGACGACATTGGTGCAGATGATCAACCTCGTTAAAAAGGCGAAACCGCCAGAACGCCCAGTGGTTCCATTCATTTTGTGAAAACTCCCTGTAGTTGGACTTGAACTGACCCGCGTTTTTCACTAAAACCTTCACCGTGATATACGTTGTAATAAATAAAAACAAGCACAAATGCAAGATAATGTAGGCCAGTATATGGGCGCGAACCGTCCAGATGCTCTCATAGCGCATGTACACGGTGTTAAAAGGGTCAAACAGTGTGGATACGACAAAAGAAAGGGCATCAGGGCCTAAAAAACTCAGGGTACCGTGGTCGAGCATGCCGCTATCGTGGATGGCAACAAGGAAGTTCTCACGCTGCAATAGAGCCTGGACGGCTCGCAACGCATCGAGTGGCTCATGGTAAAATTTGAGCTTATTCGTCTTGTTAATGTAAGTGCATATCTTATGTAAGTAAACATCCCACGGCATGGTAGTTAATACGAAATCTCGATCGCCTTTCATATCCACAGCCTCATGCCCCTCCAAACCCCCTACCCCTCGACGCCGTTGGTATGCCCAGCGATGGATCGGGGTGAGGAAGCCGGTATCTACCCCTGCCAGACGTGAGACCTCATCTACCTCGCGATGAATACGGATCGCGAGCAGCATTAAGCACCCTTCGTACAGAGTTGCGACCAGTGATGAGGTTAAAAATACAAACCCAAATGTGTATCCAACAAAATTTCGCTTGATAATATATGGCCTAGAAAGATTACTGAACAGCAATGCCTCGGTGCATTCGTTTTCTGTGCAATTTAGAGCTGACTCCCAATGGAAGCGCATTGTAAATATAAAGGCGAGGATAAACACAGCCAATGTGTTTAAAAAGTCAATAATGGCTGAAATAGCTACTCCCCAAAACCCCTTTTGATACCAGTACCAATAAGCACATCTCATAAAGTAACCTAGATCACCGATTTTATCTCCCCCCTGAGCATATATGGAGAACCTTGGAATTTGGGGAACTCCCATTTTTCATGAACGGGAAATACTAATGCTTTTCGTACTAGGTTGGCTAATATCTTTCGAAAGTTAAGATTTTAAAAGGAAAAAACGCATACAAGCGCATTTATAAAATTAATAATCATCACGAAAGTAACAATATATATTTGAGAAGCTGTTGCTAACGGGGTGAATTACCTTACTTCACCCTTGTGCATATCACATATTTAGGCTTTTATATCCATACACGATAATTTTAGCTTACAATTATTACAGTGTCGGAACACAAATTGCAGTCAATGTATTAAAAAGGCAAAAGCTGTTTTTTATAAAGTTTACAGCTCATAAACTCTAATAATTATTTGTCACATCAATCATAGGTGCACCCCACACATTCCTCGTCCCATTCCACTTACCCGCACACTCCACTTTCTATGTTTGTTAATACAACACCTACTATTTCTAGACGGCTAGAGATAATGACTTAGATATAAGTCAGACATCGCCAACAGTTAGCTCCTTGAGTGCATTTTGCAAGAACCCTATAGTTTTCTGAAGAGCCTCTTGAGTCTTGAGGCTTGGTCTATTTACTGACTCCCCTTTAGGCTGCTCAGCAGGTCCTATGACAGGCTCTAACTCTGTCTGATCCACGTTCAGCAAGCTTAGGAGTTTGGCAAATTCCATGGTGGACGCATTTTCGCCCGGCGAATCCTTTAGTTGTTGTGCACGAAGGGCGTTTCGACGACAAAAATCACGCACAGCCCGCCAACGCGCACGATCGTGCTCAATCATGTGAAGCGGCAGTAAAGCCCAAAACCACGCCTCGGTGCTCAGCTCTAACTGAGCCGCAGCGCCCAAGAGCACGGACGTTTCGGCGTCCTTGTAGGGTCGATCACGCGGCAACTGTAAGGCACGCACGGCACTGAGGATAATAAATGGGGAAAGGTAATCTGTGGAAGAGTAACTCGACGCGTGCGGATGTAGACTGGCTGGAGGGGGCGCACTGCCGTCTACGAAGCCCTTGAGAAGAAGAAACGCGGCATCCTGAAAGGAATTCCCACGACGCACTACATCCCGACCGCGGCTGTTTTTGAGGGCTTCATCGTGAAGTTTCTCAGCATACGGCGGCAAGGGTTTCGACCGACGTGACGAGGTACGCAGCCGGTCCGTGAAATCACTGATGATCTCCTCCGCTGAGGTATCAGGCGTGCAGCCATAAAACGCGAAAATACCCAGAAGCTGTTTCCACGTGACAGCGTTGTGGTGAGCCACAATGGAGTCGTCGCCCTGTGCAGACCGTTTTTCAAACGTATATTCATCCTCTTGTATAAAGGTCTCAATTTTGCCAGAGAGTAAACTCACAACCCGATCACGGACCACAACGCCGTCAGGGAAACCTGCCCTGGCCATTTCGACGTACTCCCCAAACTGATTGCCCTCCCCACAGACGCCTATCACACGAGCAAGGGTAACTTCGTTAAGATCCTCGGCGAGGCGAGCTGCATCCTTAAGCTTATGAGAGAGGATGATCTGCAGCAACTCCTCCGATCGAGAAGAAAAAACGCCACTGCTGCGGTTGACCAAATCGTGCAGCTCGCTGGAAAGCCAATTGCACAGTTGCTGTCGCCGGAGCTGCCCTAAGTAACGAGCCTCCTCCAGCGCGTTGGAAAACCCCTCATCATACTCGGGTAGGGCGTAGAGCGCACTCATCAGCTTGATCACCGACTTGCACTGCTTCATAGAGCAAAGCTCAGTGGGTGACAGACATGCTCGGCCTGACGATCGCTCGACGACGATAGAGAGTATTTCTTTCAGTTTTTCCTCGGATAACGTCGTAGAGGACTTTTCCCGACACAGGGAGAGATGCAATAGCCCGTAGTGATTCTTCTGCATTGCAGGCTCCATTTGAGCCCCACAAAAATGCTCCGAATTTGGTATCACTCGCATGTACCGGGTTAACAAACGAAACACCGACACAAGGCACGATGTCAAAGGTTTAGCTGAGGGTGTCGTCCATTTAAAAGGGCAACTTAAAACAATATTACATCCATGTACCTCATCTACATCTCGTTTGGTTTCCAACCCGTCCCGCATAGAAGCAAAAGACGGAAATGCTAAAAGGCCAGAAATGTGCCAGCTAGCTCTGAAGCTACGAGCCAAAGTAATGGGACCCGTTGTCTGCTTCTTCAAACCCGAACTGGAAACAAAATTTTCGTGAACAACGGAACACTTTGAGTTAACATAATACACAGGAGGCTTGCCTTCCGCTAGAGGAAAATGAAGCATAGCTTCTGCTTGATGTTTTGTACTCTTGGAAGTCATATCTGGTAGCTCATATGGAAGTTTAAACACTTGTCTATTCAATAAAGATCGATCCCGTGATGGCTGAGAGGATGGTAAGATGGTCTTGTTCATAATGATATTTGCTCTACCAAGAGTAGAGGGTGGAATGAGCTGGGCAGACCTCAGTGGTGCCTCCACCCCACCAAGAAGTGGCTTGTTAGCAATCGCACGCTCACTATCACTTTTTTCGGTGGTCTGCCAATTTTGTGAGGTGACGCCTGCATCCTCATCAATGTTATCGTCATCATCGTCACCCTTATGGATAGAAAGATTAACCTGGTCATGACTAGGCTCCTCGTAACACGAAACATCGATGGTTTCATTGGGATCGTTTATAGCATATCTCCACGCATTGTTTTGATACGAGATAAATCGATTGCCCTCTGCAAGGCACGTCTCACGAAGTTGGTCCTCAGCCATGTTGACAACACGATTAACGGTTACAATGGCCTTTACGTTGAGTCCTTGGTGAGACGGGGTGCTTCCCTTCTGGAAAAATCTTACGCGCCCGTTTCTATCCATGCTAATCGCATCGCTAATATTAACACGCACCAGGTTTACGGGCTCGCAGAACTCAATGCGCACCTTGCCGTCCTTTCGGAAAACCTCGAATGGGCTGAGATGCCGCAGCTCGTTTGGATGCATACGCGCAAGTTCCTCTAACGGAGGGTTTGTTCCATACTCAGCGTTGTCGCATGTTGGGGCAGAAGGGTTTGCGGCAGAAAATGGGATTCTCGAATGGGATTCACGCGTCGCATCCTGACTCGAAGAGAACTCATCCAACCTGAGATGTGTTTCATCAGGATGCAGTGCTTCTTTGTTGTCAACCACCGTGCCAAGTTGAATGGGCGGCTCCAGAATCGCCTTTAGCGCCGAAGACGAAATAGCGCTAATCGAAAGCGGCACAGGTTGTTGCTTTATACCAGAATCAAAATCAGGTGGCGGCTGGCGACGAGTTAGCCAATGATATGGGATGACTTGTGAAGTGTTGGGTAACGACGCTGCCGTTTCTGTAGAGTTCGTTCCTGCTAGTTCATGACGATCGTAAGATGCTAAAAGTGCTTCCCCGTATGGTTTCGCATTGAAGTCAGGCAAATTCATGAAAGAAAGAGCTTGGTTTAGTGTAGCTCCAGTAGAAAAGCTTTGTGAAGGCTTAGTAAAGTCCGTTGCTTGAAAATTTGTACCTGGCAACATACCAAACCCTTTACTAGCCTGTTGTGGTGGTGGT